ACATTAACTAATCATTTAACTTCATTGGATTCTCACTGGACATTAGTATTTTTACGAAAACATTATATAAATTCATTGTGGAAAGCTCGGCACGTTTGGCTGGTTAATAATGAAGGATAAAGCTAGCTAGCTTCCCATTAAGTGAATTATACCTACGTCAACTCATAATTAACTCGCTCATCGTGAACCCTCTATAAGATATCGAAGAAGTCCAGATTAGAAAAAAGACTTTATATTGCTTGTAAATTTTTGTATATAATTCATTGTTGTGTAATATCTATTTGTAATGACTTTTATTGTAATTTGTATTGTTGTGTGTATATTAAAATGTATTTGGATTAAGAAAGAAAACTATGTGTATCAATCTTGTTGGCAAATATTATAAACTGACTATTATCGGCTTTTACTTAGCTGCTAAATCCAAAGTACAATTAACTACTAAATTTAAAGTATCATTTAGCTCGTTTTCAGACCATTCGAAATTCTAATGCTTAACAAAGTTAATTAGTTTTAATCGTAGTTTTGTAAAGCTTGACTTTCTGTAAGTAGTAGCAGTTCAGGCTTAACTGTTAAATACAAAGAATAGGATACAGTTGAATATAAAGTTCAGTAGTTCTGAAAAAATTATCAAGTTACATACATCTTTTACCTGTTTCTAAGTTTAAAAGGTCTCAAGTTTCGGGTTTATAATGGAACATCTGACGCTACTTCCCTTCCATAATTATATAACATGTTCACAGACCTCCTGGAGAGTTCTTGTTGTTTTCTTAACACAAAGCTACACAATGGGCTATCTACACTCTGTCCACCGAGAGACTTCTTCAAGAGAAACTGTAGACCACAGACTGAGAACCTCTGATATATTTTTATATAAAACAAACATTAGAATTGATTTTTATCACAAATGTTATTCTCTTTGGTATTCATGCTTTAATGCTTATATAAATAGTGTTTCAAATAAACTTTTGTTTCTCATCATCAATCCCAGATAATGAGTTCTGGTATTGAAAGAAAGGCCTCCTGGGCAGTGGTTTGAAGGAGACAAAAGATAGCTCTGATTTGAAATACTAATGGACGTTTAAATTAAAAACAAAAACACTTGTATAATATTTGTCATAAATGTTTAGGTCATAGTTCCCACTGTTTTCTAGTTTTCAGCATTGATACTGTAACATTAGAAGTAATTTGTTAAGAAAATTGGGATGACAACTTAAAAACAAAATTTAGGAAGTTTACTAGAATAATGTAGCAATGAGCTAGATGTAATGACGACGAAATTCGAACACTGGTATTTTAACATTTGCTTCAAACTACTAGTCGACTATCATGTCACACGACATTTAGGACTTTTGTTTCAATAATTTCACAATATTCCTAATTGTAATGAATACGGTTCTGCTCCTGTCACATTGCAATTAGTTAATTAATGGTATTAATTAATACTTTTTATACTCTCGTAGTAAATATAAAAGCATCAACATCGTAAGCTGTAAGAGTTACTTATATGTCTAAACGATCATTGTTAAGAAAATTCACACTTAAATTTAAAGAGAAATGAAACACTTTTCATGTGATTTCTTCACACAGTTGGCTGTGTTTACTGTCGTCTCTGTAACTTCATAAAGTAAATGTGTACGTAGTGGAAATAAAAAGGAAGAAATAATCACTGGATTATATATACTATACTTTACTGTTAGATAACTTGATTAATTTTGTAAATTTAGGAACAGTTGCGCCACTAATATCGGTTCGAAAACCACATATTCACACAGAAATAATTTGTCCACTTCTGCATTTTATTGTATTCAAATCAGTAGTTAACTGAAGAGAATAGTTGTTCCTATTTGATCGAAACTATCATATGACCTTAGGAGTTTGAACTTTACAAAATAAATGCATCTTATGAAGGTGCTTGTCTTCGGTATCATAACATTTCTATCACCAAAGGTCTTATACTATAACTTTTTCCAAACACATTTTATTAACGTTAGTATTGTAATATTGTTACACATAGACAATACGTTACAATCACATATTTCAACAATAAGAATTCTCACAGAATTATAGTAGATACTTACGCATATTTTACATTTCTTAATTCTACGCAAAAGATTTATTTCACACCAACCGTTTTATGGATTTTTTTTAATTAACGAAGCTCACAATAAATAAATTATTTATTTAAATAAACAACTTTCTAACTTTTCAAAGCTTTGATAAATTTTACTTTAAAAGTTAATATAGATATGCCTCAATTCAATTGATAGCCTCTGTGACTCTTTCTTATACACTATTGATTTATAATACGTTTTGTACATACCGGAAACGTTGTGTCACAAGAAAATTCAATCGGAAACTCAAACAGTTTTATATTATACAAGACATATTATATATATATATATAAGCATTAGCAGTGTTTTCATATGGCATTTTACATTTTATTACATGAAAGTTTTCTCTGAGCTAGAAAAAAAGTATTACCTTCAATATTTTCACAGCTGTTGGACGAGATTAACGTGATAGATGCCATTCGATGAACGACGACCTGAATTATAAATTAGGTTTTGCAGCTGGAATATTTTCTCTTTTTGTTTTATTTAGGAGAAAATACGAAAACTGTCTTCAGAGAGCCTGTTTCTTAAACTCACGAAATCAGTCCAACAGGAAAGGAAAGGCGTTTTCTTGTATCACCTCGACATTAAATGCTTTTGTTTACTTCGTTTTAAACGCAAAACATCACGAAGAGCTACTTGAACTCTGTTCGTTGCAGGGATCGAACAGAACTTTAACGTTTCAAGCCCTGGCGCTTACAAGAACAACAGTTCCATTTAGAAGTATCTTCTGTTCCCGTAATCATCAGAATATTGGGTATCAAATTAGTGTGGAAGGAGTTTTTTTATTGGTTACTGATTCCATTATAATAAACTATTTGACGTAGCAGAAGAAGAAGTGCCCTATGTATAACATCCTGTTCGTTGTCCGTTTTAAGTGTAAAATACCAAAATCTGCTTTCTGCAATGTGGCCTAAGACTTTCCCAGACCTCAAGTGAAACATTTGTGACTTTGAGGACCTAATATATTTCACATTTAAAATAGCAAGCTAAGCACCTAATATATGTCACACTTAAAATAGGAAGCTCAGCAACAGGTTGATAGTAAAACAATAGAACAAACTTACAATATATGAGAAAGCAGAAGAACTGAATTTGATTGATTCCTAATCTTTGATAGGTTGTTTAGGCAGAGTCTTCATAATGAATCTAAGTTTCAAATGGACAGCAACTGCCTGTTGTAGAAACCTACAAATGTAGAGGACGACGTTTCGAAAGGCGGAAGACTTCTACAATTGCAGGTTTCTACAACAGGCAGTTGCTGTCCATTTGAAACTTAGGTTCTTTATTGATTCCTATCCGATCTTAAAGTTTCAAGTACAAGACCCACCATTCTTCAACTGCTACTCACCCTGAGCTCTACTAATACTATAGAAATTATCAGCTTTTGTTGTGGCTTTGCGTTCTGTTATACGGTATGCAATACTAGATGCATTCATAGTCTGAGTTTAATACTAAAAGACACCTAAATGATGGATTCTACATTCGCGCCACAAGGGCGTTGGACGTGTAAACAGAACCACCCGCCTTCTTGTAAAGAAATCAAATTTTAAGACATGTCGAATTCATATCTGTGAATAGACAACGCCTGGGAAAAAACAAATTTCTTGATATGTTGAGAGTGTTGCAATCCAAGAAACGTATCATAATAGTTTCATCTTGCACATTGCAATACCCTCATCTTGCACATTGCAACACCCTCATATTGCACAAATAGTAAAAACTATACAATTTTAGGATAGGCCACTTGGCTCATAAATAATGTTGTCGATAAAACTGTTAATAAATCCAATTAATCAAGGTATAAGGTATTCTTAGTTTTATTTACAAAGTATTTGCAAAGTATGAATGCTTAACAAATCTTCAAGCGCGATATATTAATCTTTCTCAAATTAACTTGAAATTTATTTGTTTTTCTTTAAGCGACCGAATCTAGACTATGGGCTATCTGTGCTGTGTCCACTGCAGAGATCAAACCACACATTTCGGCGTTATAAGCCTCGATCTTACCATTGAGCTACCAAGGGGTGAAAGCTGTGGTAGTAAAGCGAGCATATAGCCTAAAAAATGGCACACTCTTTTCAGAACTACGAGGCTGGTTGTGTTCTAAATTATCAAAAGAAAGAAGTTCTAATGTTTTTCGTGCTCATCTGTGAATTCTATATTTGAATATTTACATTTAAATACTGCACAAACAGCGTAAACAGAACCTTGTGAATGAAAATCAGTAAACATGTTCTTATTAGAACGTTTGAAATAAAGAAATTTAAAAGTAATAGAATATTTTTCGAGTAATTGTTTTTCATGATAACATAAGAACATAATTATAGTAAGCTTGTAAGAACATATTAATCATACTCGATCAAGTTCAGATCTCCATACCGACCTGATCAACCTTATTATAGAGAAATGTATGAAATATAAAATATGATTTTGTTACTATAAAATACAAAACGTGGATAGATAAACGTGTTTTGAAAGATCACTGCATCAGGAGAAGAAAATACAAGCTTAGTGCATCGAGATCAAATTTCTTTCATCGGCATATTGTAATAAATATTTTACATCAAAGTTTACCGTATGTAAATAAATATAAAAGTCCGAAGCCTGACAAGAGTTGAAAGTGTAAATTTATTTATTGTTGAGATCGAACTGATTTAGTTTTGTTATAAATGACCTTTTGACTCAGATTGTGCCTGTATAGTGGTATGTTTTAAAGATTCACGTGAGTTAAACATTGAAATGTCCCTACTGCATGAAGGAGTATGTTTTGAAATGTCCCTAATACATGAAGGAGTATTATTTGTAATGTCCCTACTACATGAAGGAGTATGTTTTGAAATGTCCCTACTACATGAAGGAGTATGTTTTGAAATGTCCTTACTGCATGAAGGAGCATGTTTTCGCACACGGGAATATTTTGATTTAAATAAGTAATTTTCGTAAACAAAAGTACGTAAGATTATTAAGAACTTTGTTATAAATAAATTATTTTTTGATATTCCCATACATTCTAGTCAATAGTAGGAAATTGTTCTTACTCTTTGTAAACAAAAGTATGTAAGATTATTAACAATTTATTAAACATACATTTTTTTGAAGTTCCTATATTTTTCTAGTCAATTGTGTAAAATTGCTGTCACTCTCGGGATAAAATGTTTTTTAGGAGTTTACGTGAAGGATTTAAAACTTTTAGCTTGTAAAGATGGCTTGTTATGTGAACACGTAGAGTGTGCGAATTGTAGTATGAAGTGAGTATTTGCTCTAACTAATGAAACCTGAAAATTAACTTTGTAAACATTTTTATTCGAAATTCTGAAACGAAGAACTATTAAGTAAATCCAACTAAAGTAGTATATGTAAATACGTTCTGAACTTCACGAGTCATGAAAATGCATGCGTACATGTACAATAAGACAAGAAGCATTTTAGTTTTGACGAGATGCGTGGTCGTAAGCGTAAGTACACTTTGAAATTTACAAATCTTTAGGGTTTGTTTGTTTCAGAAACTGCAACACGAGGGCTATTTGCACTGGCCGTCTGTCTTTCTGAATTGATAGACTAAACTCGTTAACAGCATACATTTCCACTTTTGAACTACTCTGGTCGAATAGTGGAACTTAACAGCCATTCTTATAATGCACTCGTGGCCTCGGTTCCCAAAGTGCGGAGCGCGTTTATGTGTACTGGTAATGGGACACGCTTATCAACAACAGAAATATCACTGCCTCTAAAAATGTTTCTGTAATTTTTATCTTACAAGTTTCTCTTCGTTTTTGTACTGAGTGGTTTCTAATGTTAAACGTTATTGTATTTTCACAAAATTACTGCATGACTTATAAACGTTCATAATGCGTTTATTACAAGCACCTTGTAATCTGCTTCGGGGGAAAGTAATTTCGTTGTTTTATATAAATCAGAACATAAGGCGTAGCAGCTGATAATAATGTGCAAGACAAGCTGTTGCTATTATTATAATACAATGTCGCTTCTTAAAATACAAAAACGTGATGAGCATTGTATAAAGTAAAGGTTTTAAAGATAATATTTTATGTTGTTGCTTTTTTTTTTATTAAAACACATTTTCTCATGACTCATCGAAAATGTTGTCAGAATAATATAATTATTATAAATAAAGACAATATAATCCACTGGCCTTACAGGTTTAATATTCAAGGCATATCTTCAATGCCATTGTTTGATGTCTTACTTGTATTAAGCGAAAAGTCTTTTGAATATATCAGTTAAATATTTATAAAATTAACTTTGTATTTTTCTTTGCCGATATCTATATTATATAAACTCTTATATAACCAATATCATCTATTACCGGTTTAGTTGGAATTAGAAATATTCGACAGCGCCAGTAGTCCCTAATCCGCTTCACTGTACTAAAAGATGCTGTATGTTATGAATAATGCAGCTTTAAATCGGATTAGAAATATTCGACAGCGCCAGTAGTCCCTAATCCGCTTCACTGTACTAAAAGATGCTGTATGTTATGAATAATGCAGCTTTAAATCGGATTAGAAATATTCGACAGCGCCAGTAGTCCCTAATCCGCTTCACTGTACTA